GGGCACAACCCATCGTCACCGTGAAGGGACGACATAAGTGGCATAGTTGTTTTACGTGGTTCGCTTTCAACTGAAGTTTGATAGGAACTTTTCTCCATCACGCGAGTATTTTTACCGCCAGCCGCTCCATCGCCACGCGGCAGGCGTCCTCCTCGTTGCCCGCTCTAACGGCGTGCGGCACAGCGACTCTCCAACGCTCGCAGAGAGGACGCAGCACCCGCAGTCGCTGGGGGGGCCGCAAAAATGCCGAACTGCAGACCCAAGAGAGCCAACACAGCGAAGGCGGTCTGCGATAAACAGCTCCTGCAACTGGACGCAGAAGCATCGCCACTGCCTGTTGCATCCTCGCCGTCGCCGTCAAGTTCCGGCATCAAACGGTCAAGCCGCAGCGGGGCGAAGGTGCGCCCGGGGACGGCGTCCAGCTGGTACAGCTCCACCGGCTTCGGCACCCCGCGCAGCGCCACCGCGCCCAGCGCCGTCACCTTCAACTGCTCCCGCTCGGTTGTGCTCAGCGCCATGTACGCCGCACGCGTCAGCAGCACCCGCCCGCCGTTGCCCACGCCCTCCGTGCGCGCCGCCACGTTCGCCGTTTCGCCGTAGTAGTCGTACCCCTTCGTCACCTCGTCGCGCCGGATGTCGCACAGCCCGGTGTGCACCCCGACACGCACCCGCAGGCCGTTCCAGTGCTGCCGGTACACCGCGGCGTCCAGGCGCGCCGTCGGCGGCACGTACCCCTCATTCGCGTCCTCCTCCGCCCGGCCCTCCTCGAAATTGCGGTACGCCTCGTCGAGCGCGCCCGTCCCCCAGTCGTGCTGCAGGAACACCTGCTGCAGCTCCCGCACCAGCTGCGCCGCCGCGAACACGCTCTTGCACGCAATCATGAACGAGTCGCCGACCGTCTTCACCTCGTAGCAGCGGTACTTCGTGATCAGCGCGCGGATCAGGCGATGGTGCGTCGCCACGGCGTCGGACATCAACTGCGAGCACGCAGCCCACAGCGCCGTGCTGCTCTCGATGTCGGTGAACACGAGCGTCACGGGGTCCGTCGGCTCCTTCGGCGCATTCGCGTTGTCGCGCGAGTCGCGGCAGAAGCGCAGCAGCACAATCACCACGCCCACAAGCAGCACACCGCCAACGACGCTGCCGGCGACGACGCCGATCAGCTGCGGCTCCGTCAGTCCGCGTGCAACGGGCTCCGCGTACTCCATCGTCGGGGTCACGGCGGGGAACAGCGCACGGGCAAGCGACCACACAGAAATGCGCGTCGCCCCGTAGTTCTTGCCGCACCCAGCACCGCCGGCCGCAGCCGCAGTACACGCCTTGCCTTTAACGAAGGGGCCGTACAGCATGTCCTTCACAGTGACATCGACGTTCTTGTAGAAGAAGTCAGCCAACCGCGCAGCGCTCACCTTGTCCATGCGGGAAAGAACCGTCTGCACCAGCTGCGTGGTAGCGAAGCCCATCAGCGCCAGCGGCGTCCGCTGCGTGGCGTTGGGCACAGCGGCAAGGAACTCCCGGGCGGTCTCCGACGTCGAGTTCGCGTCGTCCCAGTGCGGCAGGCTCGTCGCAAACACGACGCGGTCGGCGCCCGCACTGCCACCGAACGCGGCGGCGAAGTCGGCGTGCAGCAGCGCAAACTCGGAGAACGAAACGAACACGCGCACGCCGTCGTGCGACGCCACGTGCCGCGCCACCGCAGCGACGTCGCCGGCCGCAAGGCCCGCCACGAACACGTCGCCCGCCTCCGGCAGGTGCCCCGCCACCGCGTCGCCGCCGGCCAGCAGCATCGCGGACCGCAG